ATTGAAACGTCGTGAGAATTATGTATGTATGTCTTATCTCGCTACATCTTTCTCTCCACTGCATCTCTTCTACCATCACGCCTCCTAGCTTCTGTAGATAGATCATCCCAACGGACCACACGTCTAGCTTGTCAACACCTCTCCCGTCAACTCACTCGGAGTTTATTACTGATGGGGGGGGGGGGGGGATGGTGTAGTGAGGAGGGTGGGGGGAGCCCACCATAAACCATCATCACGCGACACACCGATCATGCTCGCAGCAGCAGCGGCGGCTTTTGGCTGCTGCCATCGAACAAAGGCGGCGGTCACCGCCATCGCGTGGCGCTTTCAGATGCGCTTCTGCGGCCGTCTGGAACGCTCTTCCTTCCGATATTAGGAAGCCACTTGGAGCTGTTCACTTTGAAATCAGCCAATTTGGAAACTCATTTATTTAGAAACTGCGTTTTGTGTTCCGTTTGTTGTCCTTTTCCTGCGCTTCCGATTAGCATGATCTGAACCCGTCCTGGGCCTCCCCTAGGTCGACTCAGCCTCAAATGAGTACCTGGTGCAGTGTGTAAACATCGCCACTAGGGAAACAAAGGTGGCTGGCCGTGGTTGCTGGCCACTCACAATATCGCGTACGGTTCCGGACTTCGTTAGGTGCTACTCGCTAACAGCACTTGCCCCTACAGTCTGTTAGGCTATACGGGGGATTATTATTGTTACCCCCGCAGCCAATACACCCAACGTGGTAATGTGGCTCCGACACGGCACTATCAATGCGGTTCCAGATAAAGAAACTAAACTCAATAGAGTTAAACAAACAAGTGCCGGAGTAATCAAAAAGCCTCTTGCTTTGCGTGAGATTCAAATGTGCGCGCCTGCTGGTTTGGCAGTCTCTCCGCGGATGGACGTTGCAGGGCAGGATGCGGTGGAGGGAGGGATGGAGGGATGGGAGTTCGACTTGTGCAGACGTTGCTGCCAGGTGAATGTCGATTGCGAGATTAATGTAACGGTGGGGTCTTTAAAAAGAATGGAGGGGGGAGGACAAATGAATATGAAAAGAGCATCGGTTCGTGCGTTGTTAGCAGCGCCATCTCCGTGACGCCGCGTTCATGGAGATGGAAGCTTGTTGGGGTCTCAGCTGAGAACGCCGCTGCGTCGCACTCGAGGGCGTCGTCGAGTTTGTCCGCTTGGGGCGGTGCTCGACGCGACCCGGAGTTGGGAAAAGCAACGGCCGCCGTACGGTGTTTGAGTCGGCATCGCGAAACAACATCATCAACAACATCAACAACATCAACACGACCCCCACCAACCCCAACGACCCCCCCCCCCCGATGCCATGTCTACATGGCATTGCTAGGCATGTCACAGACACACATCCCCGCACGATGATGTGTTGGGTGTCTGGTGTTGGTTTCTTCTCCGGCTCCTCCAGCCCCCCCCCCCCCCACACACACATTTATTTAGCAAAGTTCGTTTAGAGCATTCATCTGCAATACATGTCGACGTGATGATCCACTTCGTTGAACTATCCCTTGTTAACATGTCACTTCTTTAAAAAAAAAAGAGCTGTATAGCTCAGTGAGCCTTACCTGGTAAAATGAAAAAAGTAGTTTTTGTTTGTTAAATTGGGTCCTTGTTCAACGCAAAACTGGATTTATCGATTCCTACAGAGGACAGAGGACATTGGTTATAATAACAGATAAAGAGGGAGTTTTACAAGGGTACCCAGCACGTCTAGAAGTCCACAGCTATGCTAAGATAAATGAACTCCTGTTCAGATTGTGGTGCCAGCTCCATTTGCTTTAATTTCAAATGAATATACAGCTTAGCAGTGAATCAATAGCAATCTACAGCACACAGGAATTACTAATTGAGCAAAGGGACCTGTGGATAAAATAAAAGAGATGAGTCTAAGCTGTCTAATGCCACCTCGGACCTGTGATTAATCATAGGCTTTCCGTGCTTGTTGGGATATGAATTGGTGAAAAAATAAAAGCAATCGTTTTACTCTCATCATGAGCAAAAAAAAAACTTGTGAATATACAACGTCTCTTCGTGGTTATCTATTCCACGGGTTGCTATTGCAGTGGAGCTTTAAAAGTTAGCGAATAAATCACTTAATAAACCCACGAATATAAATGTCCGAGGAAACATTATTCATTGTGGGGCTGTTGAAAAATGGGCGCATTGCGAGCAATGACATTTTGTCAATGTTAAGTTTACAGACATTTTAAAAGCCTCTAATTGGAGGTGGCTGTGTAGCTCAGAGCACTGACCCAGCACCACTAAAATCCTGGGTTTTAATCCTAGACAAGTATAACCCGTAAAAACAAAGTTTTTCACTATAAATCCTTTATATGCGTGGCGGCTAGAGTCCTCTCATCCTCTGGCTTGAGATGGCTGCCACCTATGGGTCAGATGATTGTCTGCCAGTATTAAGCAATTGGTAATTAAATATTAAATTTGTTTTCCCTAAACAGTGTAAAATTTTGGGAAAAAATTTTCACGAACATTAATTGTCTCGCACAACGAATTTGTGTGCAAAATGTCAGCTCGATTGGATCACGGGAAGTGGGTTAAAAAACGACCGAAAGATTTGCACGGTCGTAAGCAAGCAAGCAAGCACGCAAGCAAGCAAGCAAGCATGTGAACTTAATATAAAGGATTTAAAAAGGATGGCATGCTTCCTTTCTTGGATGTCTTAATAAAAAGAAAACCAGATGGCTCAATGAGCCACTCTGTCTACAGGAAAGTAACCCATACTGACGCCTACCTAAAACCTGATTCCCACCACTAACCATCCCAGAAGAATTCCCTCATAAAGACGCTACACCATAGAGCTCAATGTATCTCCGACCATGAACACCTGACCGGTGAACTCAAACACGCACACCGGGCTCTCAAGGCGAATGGATACTCCGACTACACAATCCGCAAAGCCATCACCCCAACCGTGAGGAAGGAGCCATCTGAAGATCCAATCAAAACCGTCACCTTACCTTACATAGCAGGGATAACCAAAAATATTTCCAAAATCTTGAAAAACACAATATCCAGGTCCGATTTACCACGGTGTACAAAATTCGTGACCCGATTCCATCTGTGAAGGACAAGATTCCTGACATGCAATATCCCGGCAGCAGTTACATTGGGGAAACTAAGCCACATGTCTCGAACCATGTTCGTGAACACAAGGCAAATCTTAAACACGGCAGGACCAATACTTCTGCCGTGGCTGATCATTCCTTTAATGCGGCTGGCTCACATGAAATAGATTTCTCTAAGACAAAGGTACTTTGCAAGCCGATTGGCTATCAACAAAGATTTGTTCACGAAGCCATCCATATATACAGACACAAACACAATTTCAACCGAGACGACGGTTATAAACTCAGCAATCATTGGACAGATGTCATCAACCACTTTGGGTCGTGACTTAAATTTGTGCTTCCTTGCCAACCTCTACCGTCAGCAGTGTGGGTGGGTGTAGGGCAGAGTTCGCAACCGGGTACCCGATACCCGTACCCTACCCGATATCCGGCTACCCGTATCTGGCCAGGTACGGGTACCCGTTTGCGACCCTGGTGCGGCCGGGTACAGGAACGGAATCAAAACCCGTTTGCGACCTCTGGTGTAGGGAGGTGCAATTCCCCCCCCTCCCATCTCTACCCCTCCCCTCCATATCTGCCCCACCCCCTCTCTCTCCCCCCGTCTCTTGCGCAGCCCTTTCCCCACGCCCACTCACTCTGGAGCCCTTATAAGCAGCTACATTTGGAGGATTGCCCCCTCTTTTCTCTCCACCTGACGAAGAACGCTTGTGTTGCGATCGAAACGTCGTGGTTTTTTGTTCTCTATCTACATGACTCTACCGAAAGAACCAAGAATATATTTTAATCCTGACTTCAGGTCTTGTGAGTTCTAGAACTCGACCCAGTCACCAACAATTTAGAGCGATCCACAGGGCTCGCATAGAAACCCACATACTTACAGAAAGCCGTATCGTAACCATAGCGACCTATGTATCCACACACATGCCCATATACGACTAAAACAGCGAGTTGCGTTTCGACCAGTGACTTAGAAGAGAACCATAGACTTTCACAGAGACCCACATATTTACAGAAGCCTACGTACACCCACACGTACCCATTGAGAGACAAACTGAGTTGCAATTCCACCGGACCATCGTTTGTCACGAGTTAATTGTTTTTATCTCAGGTCACCAGTGACTGCAAACCAACACCATCATGGTAAAATTGTACCTCACCTCAAATTCACCTCTCTACCTCTCTGGCCTTACTTTTAGTTTTTTGGCATATTTTTTGGTTGATGTAATTTTTGCTGGACCACCCCGGCCGGACATGTGTAAAAAAAAAATAGAGGTCACCAGATTCTCGCAGTCTAAATCGAGCTTCCGATTCTGATGGGCTATAAAGGGAAGGGCCAGGGAGGGAGTGAGTGGTGAAAAAATTGCCAATTTACCCCCCCCCCCCCCCCCCCGCCAAACTGGCACAAAAGAGGGCCTCAAAAAGAACTGGTCCGTTTTTCGTCAATAATGAATTAGGTCACCTCACGTGGCCTCCTGTCCAGGGCCTCCAGGAAATTACGGGAGAGCCCTGGCAATGTTCAATGTCAAATAAAGCACGAAGAGAGGAGGACGTCTATTCAGCTGGTGCAGGCAACGCTATGAATTGTCTGCATGGCATTGCTAGGCATATCGCAGATACGCCTCCCGGCACGATGATGTATTCCACAATGGAATTTGGAGTCGTTATATTGAAGATAATCATGACAATTTCTACAGTAGGCTATAACATGGCTAGTCATTACCAGAGCACTGAGCAAGCAACAAAAACGCATTAAACATTAGTCACTGGTCCATTCTAACGAGGCCATAAACGCAGCATCAAGACGCTGGAGAGAGACAGTGGGTATATTTGTTTAACGGCGATACACTTCGAGCCATATAGGCAGCTGATAAGTAGGAAGGTAATGAGCCTCCGCTAATTTGGTGCGACAATTCCCATACCAAATTAATCACCCCGAGCCGACACAATACCGATACCATATTGCTACGAGTGTTGCGATATGAAAAAGGTGCATCCATTTGGCAAACTGATCACAATTGGCTTTCGACCGGTTATAACTAAAATATATTATTATTATTATTACTCCAACAACGACATTTACGAATGCAGCTTTAACTCGCTTCATGCGGAAAGCAGATGCGTTCTAAAAAATGTCACACAAAGCGAAGCTGTATCTCTGTACGTATTCCTATGTGTATGTATCTGTACATGTATACTTTTAAACACGCTTTTATGAAATGTACAAAAAAGTTTTAAATAAATATTTTCAAAAAACACCGTATTTCAACGCTGTGTGCAAACATCCCAAGTGGGGTACAAGTCAAACAATAACAACCACAAGACAATGTAGATTCAAATTATCGGTCTAACTTTGTACCACAACAAACAAACGTGACTAAACCGAAACGTTTTAAAAAATCCCCAAAATAAAGCTATAAAAACAATGTAACAGTGCTCATAGGAACTGTGGCCCGAGACCGCTACGATAGACGTCACGATGGCCAGCCTTGTTGACGCTCGACGGCTGTGAGTGGCAGCGCGCGGACGAGAACAACAGATGGTAGGAAGATGTCCCCACCACCGGGGAGATGGAGCGACACAACATCGGCTCGTGCGCAGGGGGGGGGCGCGCCGATGGGTTGGTGGCGACGCGCGAGACGCAGGTGACGGCGGCAGCTTGGGAAGGGACTCCCTCATCCAGCAGTGGACTGATGTTGGGCCTGAACGGTGAAATGAAAATGCGCTCATGGATCAACAAATTCGTCCTAACGGTTTTTTCGGTAAAGTCACTTAGGCAATTGCCAATCTTATTTTGACAGACAACCATTAGAGTTTTACCATGTTTAGTGGTGGTCTCCCTGTTAAAGGTTGAGTCACAAACCGCACCTCTCCATAACAAAGGCTCAGCCTTTGTTATGCAGTCTATTCTTAGTCTCAAGCCTCACCTTACCATATTAATAATAAGTATGCGGACCTTGCCCCACCACCTTCTCCAACCATTATATAAACGGAGTGGTAGCTCCTGCAATCTCTCATTTACTTGATACAGCTGTTGTGGCTGTGACAGTACCACCTGAAGACGGAAGCTTGTGTTGCCTCCGAAACGTCGTGATTTTTATTTTATTTTACTTTTTAATGTTTTTACCTACGTGACTTTACCGAAAAAACCTAAGAATAGAATATCGTCCTAAGGGGTCAGTTCGTAAGATCCGAGTGCAGTGAGAAAGCAGGAATCTGGAGATACATCAGAATATCTTCTTGGTTCTTTCGGTAAAGTCACGTAGAATTGAAATAATAAAATAATAGAATATGCAAATTATTTTGTCAAGGCGCTCTTCCCCCTCCATCCCAGCTTAAATAGTCGCTCCAAGCCTGGGGCTTGTCATTCAGACTCTGTCTCCTCGACAGACCTGTTCTCCACCTGAGGACGGCTACTTGCGTTGTGGCCGAAACGTCGTGAGAATAGTTTTATTATGTTTTATTTTTATTATTTTATTATTTCAATTCTACGTGACTTTACCGAAAGAACCAAGAAGATGAATCCCTGCAGTCACGAAAGCTTTAAATCGAAAAGAAAAATACATCAGAATAATCTGGTTAAGAGCGGTGGTGAGAAATATGATAAGACTGTAAGGACGAGGACAAGGAGACAATGGCCAATTTAAGGGGATTAAACGACTGAAGGATGGGAGAGGGTTTTTTTTGTTAATCCATTATTGAATGATTCATTGGGAAGGAATGGGCAACACTGTGGGTCTGTGGGGAGGCATGGCAGTGCATTTTAAACAGCCGGGGAGAAGCTGGGCGTTAGGGTGGTGCGACTCTGGGCAGATCTTGGGATACCCTGATGAGCTGTGTACCAGGGAGGAGGAGGAGACCTTGGGAGACGTTTAAGAAGGAGGTGGGCTGCTACAAAGTGGTGCCGCGAGTGATGGTGACAACCACGGAGGTCAACGGCGCAGTCTGCGATGGGAGCCGTGGCTAGACCTGTCGTGGCGAGATGTTAACTCCCTCGCCTGGTATGCAGGAGGTCGTGGGTTCGATCCCGACCCTGACGCGTGCTGTATGTTCGGAGTTTGCGTGTCTCTCTCCCCGTGGCCGCGTGGATTGTTCTCCGGGTGCTCCGAGTTTTCCCTCCAACATTTAGACACAACGTGCGTATGGAGTATTTGGCTTCTGTAAATGTCCACGCGATAAGCCGCCTCCCGTTGAGTTGTTTTTTGTGGCCAGGCGGCTTCTGAAAATTAGCTGTATAGCTTAATTGGCGTGACTTGCTTTCAAAAAAAGTTAAAGTTAGTGTTATTTATTTCATCGGTGCATGCAATTCTGCTCAATTAACAGCACATCCCCCTGTCATCTCTATGGCTTAACGGAGGTGTAGGGTCTCTTGCGTGCGTGACCATTTGCCAAACTTACTTTGCTTAACCGGCTGAGTAACTCAGAGAGGACAAGGATAGCCTCATTTGCAAGAGTGACTGACCCTGGGGACACCAAATTGGCAAAAATCTGAAACAAAAACCACAAAGCATGACATTAGAAGCGAATATAAATCTGCGCAAACAACAACTTTGTTACAGAAGCAAATTGAAACGGTGCCCAAACATTAAATCAATGCATAATGAAGGTCTTTGGGTTAGATCGCGTAAGTATAAATGCGTCGCAACCCACCAAAACCCGACACAGCCAGTAAGGGATTTGGGATTTGTTACGTAAGCAACGCGCCAATTAGTTAGGGGCTGTCCATAAATGACGTCACGCACCTAGGTCAGACATTTGTGACGATGTGTGACGATGTGTGACGAGGGGGGAGGGGGAGTATGAGAAATGTGACTTCGTAAAAAAATGTGCAACTTTAAATAAATATAGACAACACGTTCTACTTAATTAAATAGACTTTTTAATAAATGTTTTCTCCTACAACATCAGAGTGCAGCGGCACATTAAATACGCACTACAATGACAATAGTTTAAAACGATTTTAAGCATGTTTTTTTTGGGGGGGGGGCAAAGCCTTGTGACGTCATATTTGAGGGGGGTCTGACTTTTTGTGAAGCCGGTTGACGAGGAGGATGAGTCAAAAATCGTCCAAAATCGCGTGACGTCATTTATGGACGGTCCCTAACTCTCACGAAGGTGATCCAATTTGAATGAAGTTTCGGTGTAAAGTTGTGCTATTCGTATGTATGTTGAAGTTATTTCGCACCGTACTTAGCCAGCCGTTCTCATCAGAAGTACATGGGAAGGACAACAAACGAAACACAGAAAGCAGTTCTACAGAAATGAGTTTACAATCGAGATGATTTTCAAGTGCATATCTCTAGTGACTTCCTAATATCGGAAGGGAAGAGCGTTCCAGACGGCCACAGAAACGCAATCTGAAAGCGCCGCGCGATGCGGTAACCACCGTCTTTGTTCGATGACAGCAGCCAAAAGCCGCTGCTGTGCGGATGATCGGAGTTCGCGTGATGGTTTGGGACTTGTCCTGGTAAAAAATAAAAAAATTAACCCGTAAAAACAAAGTTTTTCACTATAAATCCTTTATATGCGTGGCGGCTAGAGTCCTCTCGTCCTCTGGCTTGAGATGGCTGCCACCTATGGGTCAGATGATTGCCTGCCACCATTAAACAATTGGTAATTAAATATAATGTATTTTTTCCTAAAAAGTGTAAAGTTATGGAAAAAAAATTTCACGAAAATAAATTGTCACGCACAACGAGTCTGTGTGCAAAATGTCAGATCGATTAGATCACGGGAAGTGGGTTAAAAAACGACCGAAAGAGTTGCACGGTCGTAAGCAAGCAAGCAAGTGAACTTAATATAAAGGATTTAAAAATAAACAGCCACGTCCAACAACGAGTTGGCGAAAACACTTTGCAAGACACAAAACCAGTCCTCGAACGAGCATTTGCAGTTATGCAAACAGATTTCGCCCAGACGGCTACCCTATACCCACTTGCTCTCCATCCTAAAAATAAACACTCCCAAGGGCGAACGCATATTGGCAAGCTTCACAGAATCGATGCGTATGTATGCTTAGTCTTGTTTACATACCGCCAGAAAAGTGAAATTGCACGGTGGTGAGACACGCCGTGCCTTGCCAGTCCCACTCCGTATTCCACCCTACACGATGCACCGAGTGAAATAAATTCCCGACAGCTAATTTGACTGCTTCTGTAACTTTCATTTTTACTCTGGTTTCTTTTATTGCAATACGAGCCAACATATGTTCTGGGAAATGTATTATATTGAATATTGATTGACAGCTACAGGCTTAGTAGTGCGGCCTGGAGGCGTATTATGAAGTAACATATCTTACAACTGCATTCCTGAAAGAGGAAACACATGCCAATTAACTGATTACTAATCTATTATATAATTACAATACCCCTCCCTCCGCCTCTGATCTCTGCACCTGATGGGTTCAGTGATGACGTCATCCTGCTGCTGCTGATCTATTTAAGACCGGAAGCACGTGGCTTGCTTCACTATTCTGGTAAATCGCCCGATGATGCTGGCTGATGTAATTACCAGCGAAACGTCGTACTACCCAGATTGTAAATGTTGTGGGTTTACTCTCCAACACACCGGTGGGCTGAAGTAGTGAGGGGCCGTCCATAAATGACGTCACGCGATTTTGGACGCAATATCACGGCGTCACAAAAAGTCAGACCCCCCCTCAAATATGACGTCACAACGCTCTGCCCCCCACCCCCCCAAAAAATTAAAACATGCTTCAAATCGATTTAAACTATTGTCATTCTAGTGCGTATTTAATGTGGCGCTGCACTCTGACGTAGGAGAAAACATTTATTAAAAAGTCTATTTAATTAAGTAGAACGTGTTGTCTATATTTATTTAAAGTTACGCATTTTGATGTGACGTCACATTTCTCAAACACCCCCCCCCCCCCATTGTCACACATCGTCACAAATGTCTGACCCCCCCCACCCCCCTAGGTGCGTGACGTCATTTATGGACGGCCCCTTATCCTGCCTGCACGTCGTTACTGGCAGACACAGATAAAGAATTGACGAATCTCAACCGTCGTTGAAATCTGACGTGTTAGCACGTGCTGCCGAAGAAGCGTGGTGAAGACGAAACGAGGCCTTTCGAGGGCTGAGAGCAAATGAAGGCCCTCTCATGCCACTCACGCGTCTCTGTGCGAGACTACGACCGAGGGAAAGACATTCAAATTCAAACAATTACTGCTGCTGCTGCTGCTTCACAATTTGGAAAATATCCAGCAGTTGGTTGTGACACAAATCATGTTTTTTTATATATACGCGCGAGAAGCACATTCATTAGGGGATAAGACCAGCTGTAACTTGCATCATAAGTAGTGTGCTTGTATAGGGGACTACCTTACCCCAAGCGGCGTTGCGTCAGAATGTGTTGTCGATATCATTACTTTGCAGAGAAAAATGATTTGGCGGCACTGCGACTGGCAGTAACGCCTCGAACACATTCAGTGGCTTTAAAAGAGTTGTGGATATCTAATAGGCAACGTGTTGGGCAATGTCCCTCTGTCATAGCACACATTAAAGGCCATTGCCCTGAAACGTCTGCTATGACTGTATCTGCACGTGTATGCATCTACGTTGAACGTCTTTCGCACCGTCCGTAGCCAACCGTACTAATCGCAGGTGCGGTGGATGGACAAGAAACTCCGTGTTTTCCAATTGTGTAGAACTTTTCTCATTTATGTTATGTGTCTTCTTGGTTCTTTCGGTAAAGTCACGTAGAAGGGAAGTAATAAAATAATAAAAATAAAACATAATAAAATATTATTTTATTTAAAAGAGTTGTGGATATATTATTTTATTATGTTTTATTTTTATTATTTTATTACTTCCCTTCTACGTGACTTTACCGAAAGAACCAAGAAGATGAATCCCTGCAGTCACGAAAGCTTTAAATCGATATGTTATGTGTGTTTATATAGCAGCATCTACTGTATGTACATTCCGCATATAACTCAACTCAAACGGTTGCCCTGCCATCCCCACGTAGCCAAGGATGTCGCGTGCCTATCACGTTCCGACTTTTGACCCGCCCACCCTAAAGCTGTCTGTGGCTCTATGCGCAACAGAGCCCCATGTTCAATTACATTTTATCGGTCCAACCACGGCAAACTTTGGCGAGGGGAAAGAAAAAAAAAAGAAACGGGTAAGGAGTTTGTGCAGCAGAGTGCGAATTTCTGGAATTGAGCACTTCACCGTCTTTTGTTCCGGCACTGGAATTTTTTTTGGAAAAAAATCGGCGCTGCGGATGAAATGGGCTGAGTGGATGAGTGCCTGGGTGTTCCGCTTTGTAATCTACAAGATTCTCGCCGCCTCAATGGTGGCACCAAGTAAAAAGCTTAGGAAGCTCCATAAAAGTAATTCTAGATTTGAAGCTTTCGTGACTGCAAGGATTCATACTCTTAGTTCTTTCGGTAGTCACTTAGGTAAAACAAATGAAATTAAAATGAATAAAAATAAAATATTATTTTATTTTTATTAATTTTAATTTCTTTTTTTTTGAAATTAAAATGAATAAAAATAAAATATTATTTTATTTTCATTAATTTTAATTTCATTTTTTTTACCTACGTGACTCCATAAAAGTAGCTCAAGCCCCCCCCCCCCAATTTCCGAGACAAACAAATACTAATCTAGTACAAGCCCACACTAAAATAACTTTTTTTTAAAAGCGAAAATATCATCATTCTAAGTGGTGCGGAGGTCAATGTGCAACCCTGCAATCTCTCACCTCGGACCACTGCTGGAGGAAGGGACTGCGCGAGGAGAGAGGGTTTTCTTTGGCCTACTCTTCCACGCTCCTGGCCAGACGTATCGTAAGAGGTGGGAAACACCCGCGTTTTACCCCACCACACAATATCTGGAGAAATCCGATGGGCTATAAAGTTATTTTTTTCACAGATGTCAATTAGGAGCGCGTGGTTAAAACGTTACAACAACAACAACCAATACAAAAAAACCACGATAGGAGCGTGAAGTATAGGAAAGGTAAACAAATGGCTGGTCTAAGAAACTCACCATTGGTACCTCATTTGCCAGTAAAAATATGATAATAGTTTTTTTACCCTTCTATCTGGCAACAAAACTGACACCTTTTTTTTACGAGGAGTCATGTTTGCATTGACCACAATACCTGCAGTCATAATGCAAACAAAAAACATAACTCCGATAATGTATACACTGTCTTTGAAGTTGATTGGTCCACACCCGAGACAGCTTTCCTTAGAGCCTAGTCTCACATGGGTTAGACCAGATGACGCCAAAAGGCCAAAAGGCGCTATAACAAACAAACAAAAATAACCTCCATTATGGATAATATATCGTACTCATTGGTTCTTTCGGTAACCATATAAAGACGATGGCTTGTGTGGGGGTGAGTGGGTGGAGCGGGGGTGGTGTGGATAGTGGGGGGAGTGGGGGGTGGGTGGGAGGAGTGGGGATGGTGGCGATGGTGGGGGGGGGGTGATTGGGGGGTTGGGGGGCTGGGTGGGGGGGTCTGGGGGTTGGGGTGGTGGGGGGTGGGGGCACACGGACAACCGCCGGCCCCGTCAAGCTCATGCAGTTGGTGGCGGTGGCCACGGGGAGCAAAATTCATCGTCAGCCAAAAAATCCGGACGTCAACTTATTCAAATTGTTCCGCTGCACCCCCACCCCCCTCCGAATATATATATATATAAACCCCGGTTCGCTTCTCTCTGCAACGCGCCATGCGGCGATATGATTCACTTAGAATGACACTTCATTATATCTATGGGGCCGTTTTGCCCATATCAAAAATTGATGGGAAAATAAGAATAGGTTTTTCCCCTTTCCTGTCAATAAAACATGCGGTGAGATGTTAAAACGCCAAGTAGGCACCTTTTGCAAGGTAGGGATCCACCGGCACACCGTGGTGGGAGTGAAAGTTTTAACCCGACTGCGTTCCGGAAAGAATCAAGGAGAACCGCAGACACGTACAGAGACCCGCAGACACGTACGGAGACCCACAGACACACACAGAGACCCGCAGACACGCACAGAGACCCACAGACACACACAGAGACCCACAGACACGCACAGAGACCCACAGACACACACAGAGACCCACAGACACGCACAGAGACCCGCAGACACGTACGGAGACCCACAGACACACACAGAGACCCGCAGACACGCACAGAGACTCACAGACACACACAGAGACCCACAGACACACACAGAGACCCGCAGACACGCACAGAGACCCACAGACACACACAGAGACCCACAGACACGCACAGAGACCCACAGACACGCACAGAGACCCACAGACACACACAGAGACCCGCAGACACGTACAGAGACCCGCAGACACGCACAGAGACCCACAGACACACACAGAGACCCACAGACACGCACAGAGACCCGCAGACACGCACAGAGACCCACAGACACACACAGAGACCCACAGACACGCACAGAAACCCACAGACACACACAGAGACCCACAGACACGCACAGAGACCCACAGACACACACAGAGACCCATAGACACACACAGAGACCCACAGACACACACAGAGACCCGCAGACACGCACAGAGACCCACAGACACACACAGAGACCCATAGACACGCACAGAGACCCACAGACACGCACAGAGACCCATAGACACGCACAGAGACCCATAGACACGCACAGAGACCCACAGACACGCACAGAGACCCACAGACACACACAGAGACCCATAGACACGCACAGAAACCCACAGACACGCACAGAGACCCACAGCCACGCACAGAGATCCACAGACACACACAGAGACCCACAGACACGCACAGAGACCCACAGACGCGCACAGAGACTCACAGAAACACACAGAGACCCACAGACACGCACATAAATCCACAGAAACACAGAGACCCACAGACACGCACAGAAATCCACAGACACGCATAGCGTCCCACAGAAACACACAGAGTCCCACAGAGACCCACACACGGAGCGAAGCCCCCCTCCTCAGATCTCACGGGGGTGGGAGAATCGTTGACGAGCTCCACCAGCGATGTCTCCCCATTACCAGCCCTGGCTCAGTATGTCCCTTCTCTAATCCATGTTAAAT